TTCTATGCGGTATACAAAATGAGTTCTCAAGATGATATTAATCAAAATTGGCAGAAAATTGAAAATGACGTAAAAGCGAAGCTTATAAAGTTTCTTCAAAGTGATGAAGAATCGATTTCTTTAGATATAAATAATGCTATAGAGTATGTATTTTACTTATATTATTTGAAAAAATTAGGCCTCACACCAGGTCCACAAATGACGACACGCGACTAAATGCATCGTCGGTATATTTTTTTTACACATGTGACCTAATACGCAAAATGTATGTCCTCGAGTGCGGCCTAAAAAGCAAAATGCACGTCATTCGAGTGTGGCCTAAAAAGCAAAATGCACATCACACAGGCGCATGTCTTAGCGGCTCTCAAGTGACGATACAAATGCAACCTATATAGCATCCGATATCTAGACTATAACTATTCCGAAGAGTGACGACTAAAAAGCAAAATGTACGTTATTCGAATGACGGCGCAAAAGCAAAATGCACATCACACAGGCGCATGCCACAGTGGCTCCTGAATGCAATCTGCACATCACCTGAATCATTAAAGGGAAGCAAATATCAGACTTATTAAAGGTCAAAACGGGTAGCTATAAAATAAGTAGATCTCAGTATACTCATAAGCAGGTAACAGTATACCCATAAGTAGGTAACAGTCTAGTATAAGCTGACAACAATATATATATATTGTTGTCGGCTAAGCTAGTTTGATATGCTAAAACCCCTTTACAATAAAGAACGCACCTTGTGATATTCTCTTAAAAGTTTTTGATAAATAGTTTAAGTTGAGCTGATCTCAGTGATCCTTATGAAATTGTAATAAATTATTTAAGTATTGTTTGAGAATATTTGTTATCCTTCAGATCCTTGTTCACAAGTAGGTATAACATTATATAAAATTTTCAACAGTTCAATTTAATTCAGTTTAACAATAAAGCTGAAACTGAACTGAAACTTCCAGTTTGGTTTTAGTTTGAAATTGAGAACTGAATACTCAAACTGAAACTGAACTAAAACTGAACTGGTTATTTTCAGTTTAAATATGATCACCATCCTTATGTAATTATCAACTAATAAAAACAAAACACATGATTAAATAATAGACACATTTGTCCAGGTGATCAATATTTCATGTGTAATAAATATTCGGTAATAAATATTCGGTGACAAATATTATTCTTTTCACATGTAAATGATATTCGAAGGGTGTGACACATGGTGATAAATACAGTATATAAACTGAAAATTTTGATTTCGCTTTCAGTTTTTCAGTTCAGTTTCTATGAATAAACCAAGACCGAACCAAATTCAAACTGAAACTGGACTAAACTGAAACCAGCAGATTAGTTTCAGTTTGAGTCAACCAATTGAGAGCTTTAATTCTATATATACCTGCTGCCTAAATTCAAATGCCGAAATGCTCAAATCCCATATTATTACTAGTAAATTTTGCCAAAATCCCAAATACTATAAATATGGAATTTCGGCATTCCAAATTCCAAACTATTTGAAATTTGGGCAATGGGTATAATTCTATACTATTGACTACACCAATTTCATTTCTAAATAAAATGGTCATCATTATATATCTATACGAAATGTGTAGTGACAAAAAAATGAATTAACAATTCTACATTATCTAGCCTTAAAAATGAATTAACAATTCTACATTATCTAGCCCTAAACTAATTACTTTTTTTCAGACCTAAGAAAAAAAAAAGATAAAAATGGGCTGAAAGTTTATATTGCCTGTTTTCTGAGCCATAAATATGTTAATACTGACCTATACGATTTACAAAATATTTTCCATATTTTAGCAGAATGGTAAAAAGAGAAAGAATTTTATAGTAAAGTATGTGTTACTGGAAGCATCAGATTGTTCCCGATGAAGCAAGTAAAGAAGACATTAACTTGTCGGAGAGTGAAAAATTTTCTTGTAACCTAGCAACAATACTGGCAAGAGACAGAGAAGTAGTGGCAGTAAACTTGAAAATTTTATCCAACAATTATAAAGTTTACATCGCTAAGAACAGTGCTTGGTCTGAAAATGATCGTAAATATATTTACGAAATCAAAGAATACCTGGAGGTTTTATCCAAAATGCACTCATATCATTCCAACAAGCATTTGAAAGAAAGGAGATGAAAATTTTATAGTATTGCGTATTGAAGTACTGTTCTATTAAGCTTGATTATAGATTGGACAAACTTAAGAACGATATAATCTATAGTAAAAACAAATCACATATTAAATCTTTCTTAGAATTTGCTAAAATTAACGTTGTTAATATAGATAAGGTGAAAGAAAGAGGATTTGTTACGAATATTACAAAAAAGTCAAAAAAGATTCTGCGATTCAGGAAAATTTTTTAAGACATATTAAAAAGGCGGGATCCTATGTTGGATCTTTGATGGATATCACAGATTGCGTACGTAGAGAAAAGTACCGAACCTCATTTTCTCATATAGATTTATATTTATTAGATCCTATTATGGCCGATCAAAGATTTTATTCCTGCTCAATACGAAGATTTTAAGAAAGCATGCTTGGAAGATGAAGAAGTAAGGTATAGACTAAACTGTGTATATGGTGACGAACTAGACCGTGATAAACTTATTCAAATATTTTTACATGCAGAATTGAATGTATTGATCAAAATAATGGACCAGGACAAGAAAAGTAGGTCATTTATAGAAGTATCCAAGAGTTGTTTCAAATTTATACAATCCAAACACATGAATTAAATCATAGATGGAAACTTCCCGATACCTTCAAGAAAGAATTTGTGTCAAATACTCTATTTGACCTTGATCAGATCATAGAGAGTGGAATAGAACACTTCAATAGTATGATTTCTAGTGATGGCGAAAGTGTGATCAATATTTTAATGATCGATAATATTGAATTTTCAGATGACTTTAATAAGGATAATTTTTATTAATAATAAATTGGCGTATGTTACAAATTAAAAAGTTCAAAGCGAAATCTTAAGATTTTGTGCACACAAATTTAAAAAAAATCGAAGTTATTTATATTTTATATCTTTTTGTTCATTACGAATACGAATTTATCAAAGTCTATCATGTTATGTTACACAAATATTTACAATTTTAGCAAAGCTACGCCCTTCGTCATTTTTACATTTTACTTAGCTGGCCGTGTATTACTTTACGAAAAATATAATAAATAAAAAAGTATTTGTATTTATTGGTAAAATTTTTTTTCTAGAGAAAATTAGCTTAAAAGTTCCTCACGATAGGGAAAAGAAAAAGGAAATCAAAAGAACAAAATAACAACGACAATATGTCTCAAATGCCTGCTGCTGCTGCTGATGGTGGTAAGATTTTGTGAATATATATTTTTTTTAAACAAATTCGAGTTAAAAGATGGGATTGAGAGGAAAAAATAGTAGTAAATTTTGAATTATTGCGGATTATTGCTTATTGATGGATTATTGGTGGATGTTGATATATTATTGATGGATTATTTTTTTTTAAAAAAAAATGGGTTTCCTAATATAATACTTTTTTTCTTAAACAAAAGAGGAATTCTTTGATCCAATGAATATGGATGATTATGATGAAATTCATATGGATAATACGGCAGGTCCTTCTCATCAACCAAGTTATAATATAAGAGATGGAGGTCAATTTACTAGTGGGGATCGTCATGGCGGTAGTGGAGGTGGTGGTAGTAGTGGTTATGATGAAGGATTCTTTTCATCAAATCCTCAACAACAACAACAACAACAACAGCAACAACAACATCATCACAAAAGTAGTCATCATCATAGACAAAATCAACAAGGTGATAAAACTGTAGATCAAGATTTCTTTAATGGTGGGTGGATGTTTTTATATATGTATTGTGTAAATACTGTAAATATTATATATCTCTCATATCGTATGTTTAATTATTTTTTATATCATAAAAGATTTTCCGGACGATTTCGATGACGAGGATTTAAAATGAAATAAAAAGAATGTGTCGGGTAACATTAATATATACAAATAATCTATCAATTATTATATCAATTACTACATTGATTATTAGATCGATTTTTGTACACATATGTAATATTTGATTCATTTTTTCTCTTTTATTTTGTGTTAATGAAATGAGAAGAAAGAATTATTATTATGGGAAAATGTGAATTCCCAAATTTATTATAGGATAACAATTTATAAAGGTAAACAAAAGATAATAATAATATTCATCATTCAAAAAAAAAAACTTTCAAGGTAACGTATTACTATTATTATTTAGAATAATAATAATAAAGTCATTTCGCAGAATGAGAGAATCATCTCATTGTTAAAAATAATTTATTGAATAATTCAACCGTAATTTCATTTATTATTTGAACCAACGGAATGAGAGGAAGTGAGAAGGAATGAGAGAGAATGAAATCTAAAGGATGCATCATAACTCAGTCAAATTGGTCCGGCAATTTTTAACTCCAGCTTTCCCTCATCCTTTCATTCTTCTGAATATACTGAATATATTCTTATGATTATAAAACAATTGATCGGAAGTAATTTACAAACTTTAGCATCATCAACAAACAAAAATATATCAAAAGTTCCTTCCTTAAGTAATTTACATTTCCAAATCTATACAACTATATGAAATAATAAAACTTTCTATAGAATAAATTATGGTCAAATGCCTTAGATTTGACTTGGCCTTAAAAGTTAAATTTTAATTTTATATAAGATCAAAATTTGTATAAATATAAATTTATCATATTCATCATATTCACATGAAATTGGATGTCAAAATCCTGATATCACTTCAATTATAGTAACACCAAGGTAAGATATTAGTATTTGGTTATTATAGGTAAAGATGGTACCCACATATCATTATTTATTAATTAATTTTCAATCAATCAATCATTTCATTCATTAACTCACTCACTCACCACATTTCCAAATTTTTTTTTTTTTGATTTGGATCTTTATTTGATTGAACATATAGTCAAAGGTGATAATAATTAAGATGTCAAAAATTTATCAAGATTTTTTTTTTTTTTAGTAGTTAATAACCAGTTAAATTTAATGTGTAACATCAATGAGAAATATGTTACGATTGTGTGACTAAAGAGATTCTATAAAAGAGAGATGTAATGACGCCTTTAAGCAATTTAAAAGGATGTCAAGGTCATTTTTAACATTTCTTTTAATTTTGTTAGGAAATTATTATTCAATCAATAATTAGTGCAACAATTAATATCAAAATTTGATTCCAAAATAATAGCACACTAGTTTTTGACGCTACGTTCGACTTTAGTAATGCAGAATGGGAACATACGTGTTTGCTCGATAGTGAATTATATTATGTTAGAACTTCTGACGGAAAATGTATTTATGGAGGTGACATTAATATTGAGTCACTTATACGACGAAAACGTGTAAGTTTAAACCATCTTATCTTTCCGTCTTATCTGACATATCTCATTCACATCTCATTCATATCTCATTCATATCATAACGTGATAAATATCTCTTCTTCTCACAGGCCAGTTTCAACGCCAACCCAGTAAAAAAATGGAAAAATGGAATCGTTCCATACATATTTGGCGCGTCTTTACCTAATGAACTTCGTAATAATGTATTGAAAGCAATGGAAATGTTCAAAGATTGTTCAATAACATTTGTGGAGAGAACAAATGAGATGGATTATCTCAAAATTATTAATGGTAAGGGATACTGGTCATCTTTGGGTAGGATTGGCGGAATGCAGGTCTGTGTTTTCATAATTACCACAGTCCGTCATATATTATATATCATATATTGTAACAGTAGCAATTCATTTCACTAAAGGAATTATCAATTGCCCCTGGTAACTCAAACGATCCTGTTGGTGCTTCTGCGCATCAACTCATGCACGCGCTCGGATTTTGGCATGAGCACACCCGTTTGGACCGTGATGATTGGATTACAGTGAGAGGGTTTGAAACCCCATTTTTTAAATCTAATTTCGCGAAGCATCAAAATACTATAGATATTAGGAATCGGAATCATGGTTTATATGACTTGAAATCTATAATGCATTATGCATTGACCGATTATATAGATCTTACTGATCCTACTGATAATACTATAATTTCTATGACTCCGACTCTGAGTGCTCAGAGAGGAATGCTGGGACAAAATATTAATATTTTTTTAGGTTTGTATTTCAATGTTGATATTGTCTTTTATATTGGGGGAAGGAACTAATTCCGTACATGATCTTTTTTTCATAATAAATCCAAATACACATTTTTTAATAAATAACAATTTCATTCCCACAATCCAGGTCGAAATAATGTAACATTAAGTGATGGTAATAAGAAAGCAATCAGAAATCTTTACTTTAATCCACGAGGTGGAAATTCCTCTTATGAACCATCTTATTGGGATGGTCATTATAAAAAATTCTATACTAATACTCCACCGTTTCAGCCAGAATTATCAAAATTACAATTGAATTTCACAGCCCAATCCCCAGGTGATTTAACTTTTTCATTCTCTGGTGGTGGGAGGGATTGTTATGGTTCCTTCAATATTGATAAGGGTGAGTTTGACCGATCATCAAAAAACATCTCCTTTACTAAGCGTTACATTAACTGTAATGGAAATGCAGAATCGTACTACCAAGGTCAATATAAACATAAACTTTTTTTTGGAACATGGGGAAATGATCAGAATCAGAATCTTGGATATTTTATTATTGGGTGGGTTTCCAGGGCCGAGGAGAGTCAATCACTTGAGGGAATTTGGTCTGGCTATTATTTCAATAACCTAAATAATAGCAATAACCAAATGGTAATTAACTTGACAGCAACAGCACTTCGTCCCAGGTTTGGTGATAATTTAATCTCTGGGTCTGGCTCAGATAGTGTTGGAGAATTTACAATAGAAGGTCGGCAAACTCGTCATGGTTTGGTCAACTTTATCAAACATTATAGTACTCACAGTTGGAATTATGATGGAAAGCTAAGTGGAATGGAAATATGGGGAAAGTGGTATTACTCTGGAATACCTAATGATGGAGTTTTTATAATATGGAAATGTTAGTAAATAATTTGTCATATACAAAATTTTTAATAAGCAATTAAGAGAATATTATATATTTATGTCGTATCCTTATTAAAGTTGAGAATACTTTTATTTAAATTCATTTATAACAATAATTTTCCGGACTCAAGTAGAAGTTCTTTCAATTTTTTGGGATTTTCAACCCATTCCAAACTGAACTTCTTTACAAAATTCAGGTCATGTTTTCAATAATGAAGAATAAATTGAATAAATTTACTTTGTTAATTAACAAATAAATTATAAGATTTAAAAAAAATTCATGGATTTGAATCATATGAATATAATGAGATAATAGCCATTAAGCCCACGATCCTGCAAGCCCAACTAGGCCTGCAGGTCGTGCCAGGTTCTAATTATTCTCTTTATTATCATTTGTGTCTAGATCTGAATAATAATAAATCCAGCCAATAAATCAGAAGTTGACCATGTATTTTACCATTCTGCTATTTTATTTCAAACTAATTTTGTAGATAATTGCTTAATTCTGCTTCTACCCTTCCTTTTTGATATTTAAAATTTAATGTTATCTATAAGAAAGAAGAATTAGCTTGATTGTAATTTATAAGAAATTTTGTTTATTTGCACTAGTCAAAATTTTAGAAATACTACACCAATAGGTGTAGTATTTATGAAGTTTCGACCAATGATACTTAAAAATGCCATATACCACAGCACGAAATATGTTAAGCCAATATGATTTAAAATTATATTAATAATAATTTGAAAACAGGTCCACCCAAATATATGCGCAAAATTTCGAGAACATATCAAGTCACGCGACATTAATTATCCAACGAACATTTCGTTTATGGCAAAATTGCATAAACTCGGCGAAAAAAAATCCAGCATGTAGTACTTCAATGGTTTTATCAACCAGGTGGCACATTTATGGAGCATGCTAAAAAATTGATATTATCAAAAAGTGAGTGCCTTCTTGTTCTTTGAATTCGAAGCCAGGTTATTATTCTAATGAATTGGTGAAGAATCAGAATCGAAATATATATCACCCAAAATATTGCATTTTGAATCTCTGTTAACTCTATTATTTTCTCTTTGTGAACATTCGGATTTGCTATCGAGTTTATAATATCTTACTGGATCTCCGAATTTTACTATTTTTAATGATTCATAAAGATCGATAGAAATTTTTTTGTATTGTAATTGATTAGCAATGTCGGAAACAATTTCTTTGAAGTCAACTATTGTTTTTCGATACTGATAAAATGATGGTAATGGGGTGGTTCAGAAGGAGATTTTGTTTTTTTCGAATTATGCATTATTTCTATTTTTTTTTTTCTGAGATTCTTAATTGTTTCTAATTTTTTTTTCGAAACTATTAATGCATTATCTTAGATATGTTGCAAACTAAATTTTTCGGAATAGTAGAAATTTTAGAACTAATCTATCAGATAATAAAGTTCTTTATCCAGCCTTGTATGTTAGTCGGTTTTGGTATTGCATTGCTATAGAATTGGATAATTTCCGAATTAGTTTATTGAATAATTCCAGATTGTCATTAACCATGTTTTCTTATTTAAACCATTGTTCTTAGGATTTTACATATAGAATTTGGATTCATTTCTTCTGGAAAATCTCAGTTTGTGGCTACAGATAATCGAGGGGTATCGGTTAATTCTCATTTAGATTAGCCTTAGGATTTTTAGATATACTACTTTCCTTTTCTATTTGTTTTTACCAATTACTTAGAAAGGCATGCTCCGATGAAAAAATGGTTTTCTAAAAAAGTACTATACTTAATTCTTTTTTAGTAAATGTGAAAAATAAATTTCTTGTCGACTCGTAGTCATGACTGGCCAGGTAGGTTGCAATCGCTAGTTACGTATGGCATTTTCGATTCATATAATTTTTTTTTTAATTCTTAGGCGATATTAAAATGATTCTCTTTATGAAAAATTCTCAATTAAAAAAAAAAAAAAAATTCAGCTTTTAAAAGGTTCACCATAATGCGAGTCAACTATATATAAAGGGTCAAGAGAAACTACAAGAAAGCTCAAGACAGATTATTTTATTTATTTTATTTTTTAAAAAAAAAAAACTGAAAAACATGAAAATTAAATTCAATACATGTCCTCTTTTATTGGTTATGTTTGCTGTTATCGCTTCGGCAAGCCCAATTAATGAAACCGCGCTTAACTTGATTGAGAAACGAGACTAATGCCCACTCACTGGCACTGACTCCTGCTGCTGGATAAGGGTAAAGGCTGCAACCCTGCTGTTGTTGGCTATGCCTGGGGAACTAACTGTGACAGGCTAATAAGAGTACCTACTGGTATTACATGTGATAGTGATAAAGTTCCTATTTCTCCTATGTTTGGTTTCGATGGAAATAGTCCCGAAAACTATTCCTGGAAATGGTCTGAATCCTGTGGTGGTGCTGATGGATGTGATTGCTGCAATGATTTCAACCGTGGTGGAAAATATGAATGGGCAAATTGGTGTGAACCCAGATGGATACCAGAAGGGAATCATAAATAATGTTTTAAGTACAATGGCTGTAGTGGTGGTCAGTGCTGCATTTCAAATTCGGTTGCTTATCCATGTGGTGGTTCTCCACAGATTGGTATTACCTATTGTTATTGCGATTCTAATCCTTGGGAATCCTGTGGCAGCGGCATAAACACTTATTGCTGGGCTAAATGTGGTCCAAATGCTCCTTGTAAAAAAAAATAAATCAGAATAAAATAATTATTTGTCAATAATCTATAAACTTTTAAATACTAGTTATAAAATAATAAAATAGGGACGGGTCATGTATTAAAAGATAAACTGATAGTCAACAAAATTTTTTTTAAATTAGTCAATAAATTTTGAGTAAAAATATCTCCATTACGTTGTTTATTTCTATAAATTGTTATCTATTAGTTATGAAAGTTATTATTAATAGTTAAATCGGATAATAAAGGTTTATTTCTCATAAACAAGAACAAATTTATTTTGATTATTTTTTAGAAAATGATTGCACTATTTCAGAGAGGAGTGCACACTTCGTGGTATACTATGTATCTAGATGAACGGACAGAAAAAATAAACATTATCTAATTCTTATCTGGATAAATTTGGTTATAACAGAAGAAAGTATTCCGTTAAAAGCCAGGGTAGATCCACCCATTTCTCTGATATAATTATAATTCGAAGAGTTGCCCTTAATGGTCCTGAATGCAGTAATAAATTCGATTTCACCGCCTAATAATGTTCACCTTATAGTTGGAGGGTTGGAATAATTTGTCGGTCCAGAATTGAAAGACTCATTTTCAGAATCACTGGATTCAGATTCTGTTTCAGAATAGCTCGATATGTCAGAATTAGACCATTCGTAGTATTCTTCATCAAAATTCTCGGCATGAATACTTGGGTTAAGTTGTTTTTATTAATATTTTTACAGCTATCCAAATCAAGGTATTTAAATTAGGGTAGAAATTTTACAAAAAACCGAGTTTGAGATGCCAGAGTTTAGGACAAGAACGAACAACATCGCGGATTGATGATTCTGTAATAAATGAACATCCATCAAGATCAAGATATTCCAGTTTATGACATGTACGAGAAAATTTTTACTAGATAGAATGCGAGTTCACAATGTCACGTAATATATGAAGCGGTAAGTGTGTTAATTAAGACTTCAGGGAAAAATGAATTAATATAATATCGGTATCTTCCTGACTCAATTTCGAAATTGAGGCTGCTGTTAAAGATTTAATTTTCTGAATCTTACTATCTCCAATTTCACTGAATAAATCATAAATTTTCTGGGCTCTCTCTCTTTTTTCTTCCGTAATAAAGTTTCACTGACTGAACTGGTTTTTCTAACTTCTTTATTAACTAATGCCTAGTCTGTACAAGAGAAAGAAAACATGAAATCATATTCGAGGGGGTAGAAAAATTTCTGGTGATATACTTGTATGCTCACGGGTTTTTTTCAGTCAATTAACCAATGAAAATCAGGAACAGGTGTAACGCAAAAAAGAAAAACGCCCGTTTTGAAATTTTAGTTTTAGATCTTTTCACAGTGTAATCCTACTTTATCATAATTAATCATGAGTTCTGTTAGTAAAGGAAATGACTTCGGGGAGTATTAAGAAACATGAATATTGAGAGCTATCAAATAAAGTGAGTTATTTCATTAAGTAATACTGAGTTATACATATCCGAAGTTACGCTGCCACTAGGATAATAAGACAGAGAACTGGAAGCGCGTCGTGGCCACAGTTTGTGAAAGTTGTCAGTCAAGTAACCAGACTTGACGTATGGTGAACGAACTACTGTGAACGTCCTTCTTTGTTTTATTATCTGAAAGTACCGTGTTAAATTCCGGTGTTGTGGTGAATAGGATATGTGTATGATGTTTTGACCGTGTTTAATTCCGGTGCATCTATCTTAATAACTATGACGTATTACTTATAATCTTAGTTTATTATATTAGGTTAGCAAATGGTGATGGAAGGAAAGGACCTTACGGGAAATTATGCAAGATATCTCTTATTAATTCAATGTAAGAATTATGTTGAGAAAAATAAGGTTACGTTTGATGATATATAGGAGGAGAAACAATAGGTTTTTTCGTGGTCCCGTCTAAAAAAACCAACAATTATACCAGACGGACAACCGAAGAATCGAATAATTCTAAGTATACAATAATTTTAACAGATAAATTAAATATCTGTTACGATATTCTAATTAAGACTTTAGAATATTTATAATGATGGCAATTTTATTCGATTTCGTGTTGATGGGAAAATACATAGAATTAATGTTCGCAATGTTAATAATTTTAGTAATTGTATTGCTTTTTTTCTTTTAAATTTTAAATTTAGACTGTAGTGATGGGAATTTCTAATTGTTAATAGGGAAATGTTAATTAGTATTTCGCCTATGAATAGTATTAGTATAATAAATGGTGGTCTGATAAATTATAAGATATGAGTGTTAACTAATAATAAAAATCTTAAGTATCGTTAATTTAGTCAAATTTGATTGGTCGTACAAAAGTATTGATTTTAATCAAAAACTGATGATCATCAAAGTTCATAGACGTTGAGTTTTTTTTATTTCTCTCTGAATAATAAAAATCTTATACTCCGGTCAGATGTCAGCACGTAAGAACCGAAATCGTTTGCAAAATGAGTTTGATGAATTGGAAATAAAATGTCAAAATTTGGTAAGTTTATATTTGGAGGCAAGATCTTTCGACACGCGTAGCATACTTACCCAATGTACAATTTATTTTATTAGTCTCCTTATTCAAATTTTGAATATTTCAATGAATTGCCTTTGTCGTCATTAACTCAAGAAGGTTTGCAAGAATCAAATTATATCCAAATGACTGAAATTCAACGTAAGGCTATACCTTTGGCTTTGCACGGTAAAGATGTTCTAGGGGCTGCTAAAACAGGCAGTGGAAAGACATTGGCTTTATTGATTCCAGTAAGTTTAATAAATACAAATGACGCGTTACTTCATATATTTTTCTAATTTCATTTTTAAATATTCCAAATTTTTTTTTTTTTTATTATAGTTGATCGAAAAGTTATTTAGAGAAAAATGGTCTCAATTGGATGGATTAGGTGCTCTTGTTATCGCGCCAACACGAGAATTGGTATGTCTTTTAATATAATTAATACCTTTATTTTATTTTTATTTTTTTTCTGAAAAGTTTTTTGATAATTAACTCATAGGCTGTTCAAATATTTGAAGTACTTCGGAAAATAGGAAGAAAACATACTTTATCGGCTGGACTTGTTATTGGGGGAAAAAAATTAGAAGTAGAGCAAGAGCGTATTAATAGAATGAATATTCTAATATGTACACCTGGACGTTTGTTACAACATATGGATCAAACAGCTAGTTTCAATTGTGATAATTTGCAGATTTTAAGTAAATAATATAATTTTTTTTTATATATATAAAATGTTATTATATGTATGATCATATTTCGTCATATTTAATATTTTAATATTTTTGAATTTTAATCAGTTTTGGATGAAGCAGATCGTATCCTCGACATGGGTTTTGAGAAAACAGTCAATGCAATAATAGATAATCTTCCCAAAGAACGTCAAACACTTTTGTTTTCTGCTACACAAACGAATTCCGTGAAAGATTTAGCTAGGCTTAGTTTGACAGTATGATTGTTTAATACTTTTTAATACTTTTATTTCAAATAAATTGAAATATATATTAATATATATATATATATACATTTTATTTATAAGGATCCGGAGTACGTTTTTGTACACGAACAATCTGAACATAGTACTCCACCTAATTTATCACAATATTATTTGTTATGTAAATTGCCAGAGAAATTAGATATCTTATTTTCTTTCATTAAATCTCATCTGAAAACTAAGGGTCTCGTATTCTTTTCAAGTTGTAAACAGGTATGAGGGTTATCAATTAAAATATATTTAATATATATATCTCTCTCTCTCACTATTTTTTTTTCCTACTAGATATTAACTTTTTTAAATTAAAATTTATAAGGTTCGATTTGTTTATGAAACCTTTTGTAAAATGCAACCAGGAGTTACATTGATGCATTTACATGGAAAACAAAAACAACACAAACGTTTAGAAATATTTAATAAATTTTCATCTATAAAATATGCATATTTATTTGCTACGGATATAGCTTCCAGAGGGCTTGACTTTCCGGCCGTTGATTGGGTAATACAAGTAGATGCACCAGAAAATGCTGATACGTATATTCATCGTGTTGGGCGTACGGCTAGATATGAAGCTCCCGGTAATGCATTATTATATTTATTACCAAATGAAGAACAAGGAATGTTGGGTGTGTTAGAAAAAAAGAAAGTTCCAATTGAAAAAATAAAAGTTAAACCTAGTAAGATAACGAGTGTACAGAAACAATTACAGTTATTATGCTTTAAAGATCCCGAAATAAAATATCTAAGTCAAAAGGTATATACCATGGATGGAATTGTTTATAATAATAATAATTACATTCCTTTTTCTCTTTTTTTTTTCTCTCTCTCTCTCTTTTCTTATATCTTTTATTATTTTTTTTCTTAATCGTCAGGCTTTTATATCATATATGCGATCCGTATACCTTCAAAGCGATAAGTCTATATTCAATGTAAACGAATTACCAGCGGAAGAATTTTCTTCTTCTCTTGGATTATCCGGAACACCAAAGATTAAATTCGCAAAGGTTTTTATGATCATAATTTTATTTACTTTCTTTATATCTTTATATGAAATTGGATTCTTACTTTCTTTCATGATGATATCAATAGAAATCAGGGTCAAAAAATGACATACGTGAGAAATCCAAAGAAAGGAATGAAAGATCAGAAATTGGGATTTCAGATGATGACATAAATTCTGTGGATAATCAAATTAAAGTTGATGAAAAAAAATCCAAACCAAAAAAAACCAAATTGGAGAAAATGTTTCAACGAAAAAATATGTCAGTATTCACAGATCATTATAAAAAATTGGTAGAATATGAAAGTGATAAAGAGGATGAGTTTATTACACTTAAACGTGTAAATCATGAATTACCAGAGGAATTCGAACAAAAGGTAAATTTTACTTAACGAAATTCTTATATTTATATATATTTTATTTATTTATTCATTTTAGCTTTTTTAACTTTTCATTTCAATTACCATTTTATTTTATTAGAAACCCGAATCATTATCAAAACGAAAACTTTTGATGGCAAAATCAAAAAAACATTCTATAGCGAATGCTCCTAGAGGCGAAAAACTTTTGTTTGACGAAGATGGAAATGTAAGTTATCAAATTTTTTTTTTTCATAATATTTTTATTTAGAATATTAATTTGTTTTATTTGATATATATATACATACATATAGGCCCATCAAATATATGAACTACAAGATGAAAATAAGTTTCATGCAGCTGGACCTGTATTAGACCAAAAGAAGAAATTCTTGGATAAAGAATTGAAAGTTATGGAAGAGGAAGACGTTAAGGATAAGATAATAGCAAAAGAAAAACGTCGTGAAAAGAAATTAAAAAAGAAAACGAAATTGAAAGCTCAATTGGAACAATTGGAAGAATTGGAAGATAGTGAAGAGGAGATCGCATTCAAAAATAAGAGACACAAAATATTGGAAGATAGTGAAGAGGAAACTACATTCAAAAATAAGAGACACAAAATATTGGAAGTTGAAGAGCCAATGACTTTAGAAGATCAAGAAGAATTGGCACTTAAATTATTAGAGGGACGATAATAAACAACAGCGTCACAACATATTTTTAAAAAAGTTTTAGAATTAATATTTTTATTGTAATTTATGAAACATTATTAAAAAAAAAAAAAATAATAATAATTTTGTTCGATTCATTTATCAAAAAACTATAAATTTTTAATGAAAACATCTATTGAAAAACTTGTTTTCTTAAATACAAATAATTGTAATAATTAACAAGATATTTAACTAACTGTTAATTTCGAAAAAAAAAACAATTAATTCTAATCGTCGTCTTCTCTATTAATATAAGTCAATGTGGTTTTTTCATCATTTCTTTTCCATATATTAACTTTCTCATATTCTAAAATACATTCTTCTAATTGATCTCCAGTATAACGTGAAGTTACTTCTTGTGCTATTTGATTGTAATCCAAAGTAGAATTATCTTCTCTATCTCTTATATCGTTTATGATTGCATAAATTGCTGATATAGATGACTTATTATTAGATGGATCAGATTTATCTTTCAATGAATCTTTGGATACTTCAAGCAATCTTAATGCTTCTTGAACATCTTCTCGTTCAACTTTATCGGCAAGTCGAATTCTTGCTAAAGCTGTTGCCATTCGAATAACTGCCAAAATTGTACGAGGACTTATATGAGAATGTTCCTTCTTACGAGCTTGTTCATTGGCTTGTTCTTGACGAATTTTGACGTATGAATCAACAATGTATTCTCCAAGTTCGGATGGAACAATTGGTCGTTTTGTGCGAGCCTCTGCGATATAATGTCTATTATTTATATTTATATTTATATATTTTTTTTTTTTTGAAATTAAAAAAAAAAAAAGAAATAAATAAATTAAAAAGATAACTTTAGAAAAACAAAACGAGTATGTAATATAATAATTACCTGATCGTGTTTACATCTAATACTTCTGTATCCATTGTTGGATGAGTTCCACTACGATGAACGTGTGCCACATGATGCGCCAATGCTTCATCTAAATCAAAATTGGGTCTATCTAAAATTAAAAACAAGATATCAAATCTCGACATAAGAGCAGCAGGAAGATTAATATTATGTGTAGGAGACAACTTGGGATTGTAACGTCCATATATCGGATTTGCGGCTGCTAGAATTGAAGTACGTGCATTCAATGTAGTAGTGATTCCTGCTTTACTAATACTAATTGTTTGTTGTTCCATCACTTCATGAATGGCTGTTCGATCACCGTCCTCCATTTTATCAAATTCATCAATACAACAAATTCCGTTATCCGCAAGTACTAAAGCACCGCCCTCTAAAATTTAACCAAAAAAAAAAAAATAATAATAATACATATATATATATATATATAATATAATATAAGAAATTAAAAATATATGATATATAAAATATCAAGAGAAATGTATATATTTTATTTATTTATATTACACTTACCGAGAATCATTTCATCAGTAACAGGATCTCGTTCTACTGATGCAGTCAAACCAACACCAGAACTTCCACGACCTGTAGTGTAAACACCTCGTGGAGCTACTTTACAAATATATTTAAGTAATTGTGATTTGGCTACACCAGGATCTCCCATAAGACATATATTTAAATCTCCCCTTATTTTCATTCCATCTCCCATTGTTTTGGTTACACCACCAATGAGTTGTAATAATAATGCTCTTTTTACATCTTCATGACCATATATTTCTGGTGCAATACTTTTTGCCAATAAAGTATAAATATTAGGATCCCTAGCAAGTTCTCGAACCCTTTGTTGAATTATAGGATCTTTATCCATTTTATCATATTGTTTTTTAAGTTGACGAACATTTTGACCTTCCAAGTAAACGTCTGTCAAGAGAGTGTTTGAGGATCGATGTCCTTGATGTGGAGTCGCTTGAAAAATTCCAGATATACTAACGATATCACCAGGATTTGTTGTACGTGTTAAAGGACCATATAAAAATATAGTCATCGATCTAGGAATATGACCCACAGGTACTTGTTCGGTCTAATTAATAATTTAATATTAAAATATTAAATCTTAATGATAATATAATTAAATATAATTAATTTTTATTTTCTATTAATTAATTACCAATTCCTGCATTTTGACTTCTTGAAATGGTATAAATTTACAAGATCGAGTTTGCATATGTAACTTTCCTCTAACATTATTAGTTCTGCAATTTTCTGAAGGGCATTCAACAAGTGGATGATAAGTTTTTTTGGTTACTTCTTGAAAAACTTCTTCACCACACATTTCACACGTAAATCCGGCAACAACTAAGAATGGCTTCACATCATGTACACGAGTAATTATTCCTTGTACAGTAACTAATTGACCGACATGAAAACCACCAACTTTACGAATTGAAAGTGCTTGTTCATCTTTTAATGGTTTAAAATAAAGGGTACTAATTTGATGATAATGTTATTTTATGTTGGTTTTCAAATAAAAATTTAAATAATAAAGTTAATTTAAAAAACTTACTATCTTCTTGTCAATGTAGCTGGAAAATATCCTCTATCTCCCTCAGGTCTTTGTGCATCTCTATCTTTCCTATGTTGCATGAGTACATCAATAGCATCATCCTCTATCCCGACCGTTTTTGTAGGTTTTGGCATTAATCCATCATCTTTATTATCAATAACTTGATAGAATAAATCAATATAACGTCGAACATTCCTTTGAATTCTATGAAGTAAACCATCGTGGGCTCTGTCTTCCCACTAAATTATAACAATATATGTAAAAATATATTTAATTTATTTAATATATTGTAATATGTTATTAGATAAAAGTAAATAAAAAAATTTCTTATTACGTCGGCAATATCATCCAACTCGACAACAAGATTATCATTCTCGCGGTTTGAAATTGTTTGCTATATATATATAAGTATATATACATATATCAGTTAAATAAATAATGAGAATGAAAATTTTTAAGCAAAAAAAAAAACATTTGTGATCATTGAAAACTACAAACTACTTGCAAGTTGTCTTAAATATTTATAATTTTCGGGGTTATCATTTTCAATGTCAATGTCCATTTCGCCATTCCTTGAGTTTCCATCTTCAAATCTTTCAAAGAATGCTCTGATATTATCTATTTAATTTGAAATAAATAATAAATTACATAAATGTACGTACAAAAGTCGCGTATTTTTCTTCTACGCGTCAAAGGTTCTTAGTACAAAAGTTTATATTACTCGTGTATTCCTCAACTTACTCTTGTCTTTGGAATAATTAACGTTTATTTTGATAGTTTGAAATGCTTGTGCCATTTTATCAACTATTATTATTATTATTATATGAACTATATTAATATGAGATTATATAAAAGATGATATCTTTCGTGTTTTTTCGAAGAATTAAATCACGTTATTAAACAGTCACCTGAATGATTTGTGGAAACTACGCCATAATCCCACAATTCTAAAAAAGTATAAATACCCCTCCAATTCTACTTTCTGCAACTCATACTTACCTGCCAGGACATGACCATGATCAAAAAGGTGGTCGTGTAGGTGACGGTTACTGGCATTGCACTTAGCTGGAGGCTGTTGCTTTGAACGCTCCTTAGTGGGTGTCTCAACTGGATAATTTTTGGTTGTTGGGGGTGATTGTGGTTCGCCGTGATCATCCCCTTTTATTCATTTCAATTAAGCGGGGGAAAAGTGTGGGGGTAAAAAATAAAGAAATTTTTAATTTAATTATATGTTTAATATTTATATATTTATCAACTACTTTTCTATTAACGATATTATAAAAATATTGTCAATCATTATTGCTTATCTTTTAAAATTTTAGTTCTCACGAATTTTGTATAAAGAATTAATTAAGAATAAATTATTTTTTATATAGAATAATGGCGTTTTGTCTTATTTTAATTAATTAATAATAATAAAAAAATATTATTTGTAATTATAATAATTTATAATCCAGCAAAGTTTTTTAATTCTTTAATAAAATAAAGAAATCTACTAGATTATTAATATAATAAAAACAGAAAACAGATATTTGCCTGGTAAATTCTTTTAATTGTTACATTAATACAAGTAGTTTCTTTAAGACATAAAGGTCTTTTATATTTACAATTTCTTAATATAACTTACAGTTAAATATAATACATATGATAAAAGTTGATATTTGCTAAAAATTTGAATTTACCTGAATTTCCTTTGGCTAAAAAGCAAAAAAAAATTATTTTATTATATTATATAATTATCTCTAATTTATATACAAATCTACTTTTTTTTTTACACAAATCTAAATTATAATTAAATTAAATTAAAACTAAAAATTTTACTGATGTATTATTATATATTCAAAAATATCTCTCAATTAATAAGAATAATAATAAAAATAATAGTGAATAAGAATTAAAATATATTTTCATCACTTTTCACAAAAATTATGTGCTAATTTCTTTTCTATTTAAAATTAATCTGGTGTTGTTGTTGCATTAATTTTGTGGGTGTTTGCTAATTACATAATTAATTATTAAAAGAAAATCTTTCATTTTAAATTTCTCGTTAAATGTATAATAATAATAAAAATAATAATAAAATGATGAACGATAATTATAATAATAATAACCAATGAATCTTTTGATAAAGTTCCCATCACTTTCTTCTCTTTTAAAAATATTTACTCTCCAAATATTACCAACTCGCAAGTGTGTGTAAATAATTTATATCATCTCATCCAAACTTAATCGATCCCAAAAAGAAAATAATATATATATATAAATATGAAAATATGAGTTATAAAGAATGGATTAAAATAGATATATAGATAAAAATGTTTAAAAAGGAAACGAAAACAGAATTTTCGTCCTATTTTTAAAATATATATATATGTATAAACAAAACGAAATAAAAATCTCGTCCTATTTAAAAATATATTAAAAAAAAAAAAACCCCCCGGAAAAAGAATTTCTCTTCCTATTTTTTTTAAAATAAAAGAAAAAATTCTTTCCACATTCAAAAAAAGAAAAGGAAAACCGAAAATAGATTGTCAATATAAATCCAAATTAGTCAACCAACATAGGTTGTGGCTGACTGAATGTATATCGGACTGTGTATTGCTTTTGATCCCCTTCTATCGGTTGTATTAAGGGTCGTACTCCTAAATTAAGAATGAACGTAATATAAATGTGAATAAAAACGTGAGTAAAAAAGCGTGAATCAAACGTTGAACAAATAAAACGTGATTATAATAAACAAGTAAAATGTAAAATACCCTCAATCCCATTTAAAGTTTGATAGACCGCTGTCGAGTTAAAAGAAATTTTTAATTTCATCAATTCATCATACATCGGATCATCTGAATCCGATCTCATGAAGTGATCCAAGAGCTGCCGGCAGATTTCTAAAGAAAATTTAATAATTAAACATTTAATAACATTAATTTAATCGTCATTAATTCAATAAATTTTAATTTAACAACAATTAATCAATATTTATATAATAAAATACCTTCAATGTCTTCTAATTTGCACAAGAAAACTTCATACCAGGGAACTCCTCCCCTGGTTTCAGGGAAATTTGTCTTATGTAACAATTTGGCTGCCAACAAGATTGAGGCAGCCGCTAACGTATGTGGGGGAAATCGGAGACAGACAGTTATCTTATAGCTATTATTATTATTATTATTATTATTATTATTATTATTATTATTATTAATTAATTAATTAATTAATTAATTATTAATTATTATTATAAATTATTATTATTAAAAATATCGTTCGAAAAAAAAAAGTGTTAATAAAAATCCGGTTTTGATTTTATAAAGAAGAATAAAATTGATAAAATTAACGCGTCATCTTTACCATTCGTTTAATATGTTATAAGCCTTAATGGCCAACGTTCTGTCTCCTAAAAAATGAAATCAAGAATTATTAAAATTATATTATAATTTAATTATTCATTTTCAAATAAAAAAAGGAGAAAAAATCTCACCTTTATACTTCTTCACGAATTTCATTAATAATTGGTGAGGAGGACAGATATGAAAATCAAAACAAATGGTCTCCACCACCAATCTTTCCATTTGAATGATACGTTTTCGTTGTTCCTCAAAAATCTATGTATATAGCCAAATCTTTTAATTGACAAAAGCCCATATAATAATAATGATGATGATGATGACGATGATGGTGATGATTGGGTGCATCTTATTTACTATAGAGTTTTTACCTGACTGTCAGAATTTACATCTAAAATTTCGGGATGTCGAACTTTGTACGCTTCAATTAATATATCTCTTAGTTTCTTATAGGTCTCTTCGATCTTTGTCGCCACAAACAAGCAGGTGATGCTCAAATCCTTTTTTAAAAGTGTTTTAAAGTGAATTATTCAATTTGAGAGTCTTAAATAATAATTAAAAATAAACATAGTTAAATATTTACAGATTTTTGATTCTGTGTGGAAAAATCCTTTTCTGGGTGAAACAGATAGAACCGATTGAAAAGGATTTGTGACGTCGTAATTGTATTAAGAGGACTATTTTTTTAAAAAAAAAAATAATTAAATTAAATAAATTAAATTTTTGTTTTCTATGAAATTTTTTCGAGAATGAGTCTAAAGATTCCAAAGATTAATAGTTACAATCCCAATTTGTTTCCCACGGCAACGATAAATGAACACCATTGCACACGTGACTTATTCTCTTTTGGAGTAGAGAACCCACGAATTTCTTGGCTATGGTTTATCTCCGCTGCAGTAAAATAGGAGCGAGCTTTTCGTTCAAGTACATAATATTGTTCCATTATTCCTTCAGCAGGACTTGAGTCAGCAGTAGTACCGTTATCTGTTGGCGAATTTGTATTTGAAGACATTTGGGTGCTATTATCTTTAGTAAACAATGTTGAATGGTTTGAGGAAATATTAGAGGACATTCGCCTTTTATAATTATTTTACGTATTCTTGAAATTCAAGTGAAAATTCAAGTTTCCCGCAATAATCTTAGCACTTGAATTTAAAATTTTTAAGATTTTTAACTTACAATTGTCACACAAAAAAAAGATCAACATGTGAAATCTTTTAACTGAAGACATGTCAATAATAGAGGATTTAATCAGGATTTGACTCATTGAGTAAATTACCCAACACCAAGAGCTTGCTTCATCAAGTACATTTGAAGTAGATTTTACTATATTGATAATGTTAGAATGTTAAAGAGAATATAAGAATATAACTATAACTATAATCTGATATATATATATATATATATATAAAGGAATATTTTAATTTAGATAACGAGAAGTAAACTATTTTTTTGGTAATATTTTTAAGGATAGATGATTATTCAAATGTATCAATTATTAAATCGAAAAAGAGATTCATCCCTTTGAAAGATGATTATAAAAAATATTGGTTTAATTTAAATCAGAAAACAGGATAAATGAATAAATAACAAGAAATGAAGTAATATAATGCCAAATACAATAATATCAATAAAAAAACGTCAAAAAACGAAACATTAAAAAATTTGATTTTTAATTTTAATTGAAAATAAATTTTATCTCTTAATCATCGCTTCAACTAATTGTTAGTCACGTATTATTCAGTTATCAGTTCATATTATCTATTTTTATTATTAATAAAAATAAAATTATAATAATAAAATTAATTATGAATGTATATAATAATAATAAATAAATTATATTAATCAAATTAATCATTGCTAAACTAATTCGAAGCATTCTCTTGATCGAATGCTGACAAATATATCTCTCCATCTACTAATTTTAAAAATAAACAAATTATCATAATTATCATTATTTGTTAATTTTATTTTATAAAGTAAATTCACATGATCGAGGGTAAATAATAATTTTTGAAAAAATGTAAGTGAGATTTTTATACGTCATGATATGCGTTAATGTACAATATATAGCATAATAATAATGTAGTGCAAAAGCAAAGCATATATTAAATGTATCCAGTATATTCCATATATGGTACTTTCACATCCCGTCATGAATTCCTGTTTTTGGATTGGGTTCGCTCAATTTAGAATTTAGTTTGAACTTTTGACAAGTTAGTATGACTTGTATAGTTTGAGCTTTTTGCATGAAATCCATCTTGAAAATTAAATCCTTTCACCAAAAATTTTATAGATAATATCAAAATTGTATGAATATCTAACTAATCCAGATTAAATTAATTTTCCAAAAAAAAAAAAAAAAAAAAAAGAAATATTTTTTATTGGTTGTAGTCACAATACATTATACATTATTAAATTGTTTATTATTCATTTTTCATTTATTCATTCATTCATTCATCATTCATCCATTATCAATTATCAATTAATTTGTATTACATCTAATTAATATAATTTATTTTTCCCATCTTCAACTTATTACATTTATCATTTCTTACTACATTATTACTACATTTATTAGTTTTAAATGTTTTGTTTTATTTTGTTTGTTGTTGTTGTAAAACCTTTTATTTATCAATTTATCAAGGTTATAATCTATTCTTTATTTTAACTATTTTTATTTTTACCATGTAGTTTTAAATTAAATAATATATATATAATATAAATATTGTTTAGGCTGTGCACAATAATTAAATTTTTTAAATTTTTTTAAATTTTTTTTTATTGATAATTTTTACGTACAGAATTTTTTTGGAAACTTCTCGGAAAAATGAAACTTAAACGAAATTGGTGATGACGATGTTTTAGATGATAGATGGAAATGGGAAGATACCAGAAGATAACGGAAGTCGTTTAAATTAAGCACTAAATCCAATTATGTAAAATAAAATGATATATTTTTTTCTGCCACACATTGATTTCCTTTTATTAAATTCATTTAAAATACTATGTACAGTGTTTTTATTTTTGTATACGAAAGAAACTAATGTACGTATTACAAGTATGTTTATATTTACTTTAGGTAAGGCGATGATCTCTATTTTTAACTATTTCTCTTTATTTCTTCTCTTTATTTAAAAATAAACTGTATATTATTATTTTTCTCGTTAGTCCGTGTAATATACATGAACATGTAAAATATATATATAAACATATATATAAACATATATAAACATGTGTTATCAAATAAACCCTTTTTATACTTATGTATATTATATAATATTATATACTTTGACAATACATCGAACATATCATCAGATATATAATTAACCATCATCCGAAAAAAAAAAAAAAAAAAAAAAAAAAAAAAATCTACCGCTAAAAAAATATTTAAATTACTTTTCATCTTTCATCTTTCTTCCTCCTCTTTTCTTTTTTAATCTTTTTTTTCCCTATTTTTCTCCTCACACTTAATTATAATAAAAATTATTTATAATTTAATTTTCTATCAAACCATTCTAAACATTTTTCTTTTACCACACACCATACACACATAAATATACACAATACGTACAGATTTATTATACCTACCTACATTTACATTAACATAACATTTATAACATTTTAAATTATCTCCAATCAAATAATCAAAAAATCAAAATACCCCTCGCAAGGTCAAAACAAAAAAAATCAAACTTTCTTTCTTACTTTAGGACATTATAAAATTATATTACTCTCTTTTCTATTTTCCCTTTTTTTTTTTTCCTGCTTTCCTCTTTATTTATTTATTTCTTTTTATATTTACTATTACATTATTCTTTTACTTTTATATTATATCAATAGTAGTTGTTTTTTTTTTGATACCTTTCTATTTTCATTTTTACATAAATATTTTCTTTTATTTGTTTACGTTACCATTTTTCTGGAAATAGACTCCTCTTGAAAAACTTTTGGGATCGACAACAATGCGTAGAGTTTTTTCTTTTACGACTTCCTCAGTTGAGGATTTAAAAGCTAACACAACACAACCATTTTCCCACTCACAAAGCGAAAATATTATTACACATAAAAAGAAAAAAGAAAAAATACGACAGAAAAAAGATATTACTACCGAGGAAGAAGTTAAGAATATGGAATATATTGAAGAAAGAAAAAAACAAAGTAGAAAGTCTTACATACAACAACCACCACAAGTACTTAAAAACTATTCAGGTCACGCAGGTCACGCTAAAGAAAAAAAGTCTAGGCTTTCAAAATACGTTGACCCTCATAATTTTCTTGGCGATTTTTCATTTGAGGAAACTATAAAAGAAGAAGAACATGGTGAAGAAAAAATAAAAAAGTCTAAAAAGAAATCTAATGGTCTTGGTCTAAAAGATATGAAAATGAACCGTAGTCGTGATAATCGTCGTGATAACCGTAACAGTACCACTTTAGAAGTTGTTGACATTTCCAATAATAATTCTTTACCGCAAGGATTTCGCAGGCCAACTACTCAATATGGTTATCCTGATCTTAATGTAAATAATGCAAATCATTTCCGTTTCGCAGTTCGGGAAAGTGATGATGATGATGACGATGATGATGATGATTTACCATTGGGTATTCGACTTCAACAGAATCGATCCGTCAATTCAGTCAATTCAATCAATTCATTAGGTTCTTCTAATTATCATCATAATCACCATCATCGTCCTCTTTCTTCTGCTTCTTCTTCTAATCCTTTCCAAGAAAATAAACGTGAATATATGATTGAAGAATTACCTAAATCTAAAAAGTCTTTTAGACATTCAGGTATGTTATTATTACTTAATTGAAATCATTCTCTCAATCAATATGTTGTTATCCACACACCGATCCACCACCAGCAAACTACTCCTTCACCTTAAATAATATAAAATAATATATAATAATATATAATAGCCGACAAACATTATAAACTTAAAATGAGTTTTAATTAGAATGTTCGGTAATATTAGTAGTATTAATAGTGTCGGTAATGTTAATAGTATTAATAGTATCGTTAGTGTAGTAGCGTTAGTCAAAAAAAAAGTCCTTATTATGCAACATCTTCAATATTTCCAAATTATGGTAGTAATTAAATTATTATAACAATTTTATGATTATTATGATCATTAATAGTTATCCCACCGATGGGTCCTACTCCTACTCCCACAATACCTACCTCTCGGATGCGTAATTTAAGTTTGAATATGGTTCGACCTCGTACCGATTCTTTTACCAGAAATGTTCCACCACCCAGAAGAGCAAGTGATGGAGCTGTTTTAGCTCTTCCGATTGTTCCACCAAATGAGAAAGATTCCAAAAGAATGTCAACATTTGAATATCATAGATATCAACAAGAATTAATTAATGCTCAATATCAACGACATGGAGTGAATCCATTACCTGTTTCTGATGAACAACCTATCGAATCACCAAATCCTGGACGTCCATCATCACTAACTTTGATACAAGTATCACAAGAATATAAAAATAATATTTCAACGATGGTAGAGGCGGTAAATGCACAACCCAATAATCCCAGACGATTAAATGAATTAAACGAGAACGCACAAATTCGATCTAAACGTTTAAGTTATATTGATGGTGGTAGACGTATGAATCTTTCAGAAAATAATCCATCAAGTTCTGGACGTTTATCAGGTATATTTAATATAATTTTCTTTATTTCTTCTTCTTCTGCTTCTTTTTTTTTCGTCTCCTTAGAGTAAACCGACTGCTGTTAATTCCGCTGTAACACTAGAAAACTCTTTATATTATGGTGAACATCGTAGAAGTAATACTGAGACTACCATAACGCAACAACAACTTTACCTACCACGAACATCTCAACCTCGAAATAATTCCAATTCAACAATAGTTAATCTACCTTCAAAATTTCAACATTCAGTTACATCGTTATCATCAGGATCTACTAATTTATCCAGTAGCGGTGGTAGTGGTGGACCTCCTACTCCAAAAAATAAAAGATCTAGTAGTATAACTATTATTGGAGAAGGAGGTAATTATCTTGGTGTTGGAAGTGGTAATGGTAGTGGTAGTGGGAATAGTAGATCAAGTACACCATCTTCTATTGGGAGTATAGGTGTTGGTTATACGGTAGAAAGAAAGGAAAAGGAAAAACGAAAAAAAGGTATATTGAGAAGTAAATAAAAAAGATGTGTGATTCTTATTGTGGGTTAAAGGATATATATACAAGAGTCAGGAAAGAAGGATTTAGGAAATCGAAACGCAATTCATTATCTTTTTTTTGTGGGTTTAACTAATTAATTTACTTTTTTGATTGATTGATGAACATTGGTTTTTAGAACATTTGAACTTTATTATTTTTTTTCATTTTTTTTCATTAATTTACACACTGTTAGCAGATTCATAAACAATTTTTTTCTTTTCCTTTGTATTTTCTTTTTTCTTTTGTATTTTCTTTTTTCTTTTGTATTTGCTTTTTTCTTTTGCATTTTGTATTTTCTTTTCTTTTGTATTTCTTTTTTGTTGTTGAGTTATGGAGAGTAGGCTTTTTGTTATATTATACTTATATATACATAATAATGTTGATAGTTTTGATCTTTATTTTAAGAAAAAAAAAAATTTAAAAAAGATTGTCATTATTGATATTCACCCTTAGATGCAAAAATAATAATAATAAAAAGATCCCAACAAGAACACCAATTTTTCATCTCGATATATTTATTCATGACCAAAGTCCTCGAAATGTATGCTGCTCTCTAATTTTAACGATTTTATATCTGAAATATACATGTTCACATATTTTAGATCCGAGGGATAAACCTCATCCTTGATATTTTTCGGCGAATATGGCATCTAATGGTATACTAATCATCGAGCTGAGCCACGCCTGAATAGGGATCATGAGCAAGAATGGTGATAACTTAATAAACTTGATAAATATTGATAATTTGACAATCATTGTAAAGCTAAAAACTAGAGCTTCTGAATGAACTTGTGGAAAATTGTTCCTGCTGGCTGAAATCGTCGTTACATCACGTGAGAACATACATGGGCATTTCGCAGTAAAACCATTACACAATATTTTTATAATTATTTATTATTTTTGTTTTAGTATAGTAGATTTAGATTATAAATGTTTCCAAAATTGATTTCTGATTTTTGGAATATTTTGCCTTTTGGAGATTTACTCAGAATCTAATTTATATATGGAAGTAAAAAAAAATACTTAGTTAAGTGTATCTTTAATCAAGGGATTTATCTGAGTAGTCAAAAATTTTGGGTTTTAAAAAGATAATTTTGTCTTCTATGAAAAACTATTTCAACTTTTTTTTCAAAATTACAATTTCAGAGTTCTAAAATAATTTTGTGTGCAAGTATAATTTAGATAAATCATGTACATGTAACAGATAAACTACCAGATAAATCACCTAGATAAATTACCCATTGTATGCAACAGGTGGATTACCAGGTTGATTACCTCTTGCCAAAATCAGTATAACTGTAAATTAGTAGATCCTGTAGTGCAGTAAATTAAAGAGATATAAATATAATACAGATCAAATACAAAAAAATTGCTGTACCAAAAAGAAATTCCAATTTTAACTGATTTGTAATATAGGATACAATAGAATAGTCAATTTTTAGTAATTTTTAATTGATCTATAATATAGAAATTACCATTTGGTATAATAATTCTTTTGTATTTGATCTATATGAATTCTTTTGATCTTAAAAACAAAACAGGTTTCAAAGGTTTCAAGTAATCAATATTATACTTCACAGTAAAATAATTATATCAATTATATCAATTACAGTAGAACCTATATAAAAGTATATTGTATATAAGTATAACCTACCTAAGTGTATAAAATTTTTATAGTCCGAGTTGGACCATATAAGCTATAAATATACGCATAATGTGCATATGTATAAAAAAATTTTAAATTATTTGATCATATATAAGCATAATTATGTATATCAGAATATATAAAATTTATTATTATTTTATTATTATTTTATCTATTGTCATTTATCTTTTTATTAATTATAAATTTATTTATTCTTCAGTTCATTTATTTTTTTATTTTTTTATTTATCTGTTTGTTCATTTTTTCATTCATTTGTTTGTCTTTAATTAATTTATTCACTATTTATCTATTTTTCATATAAAAATATTATTTTTATTTATTAATAAAAAAAATACAACTTTTCTGTTATAAAAATTTTTTGTGACAGCATTGACTTACATATGCATAACCTGTCTATATGTATTGGATTTTACTAACCTGACAATATACTTATTTACAAGTTCTACTGTAGTAAAATAATTATATCAAATTACATTAATACTATATATGTTTTTAAAATTGATTTCTAATTTTTGAGATATTTCATTTTTTTGAAATTTATTCAAAATTTATTCTATATATGAAAGTAAAAAAAATATCTAATTAAGTATATCTTTAATCAAAAAATTTATTTAAGTAATCAAAAAATTTTAAGTTTTAAGTAAAATAATTTTGTCTTCTATAAAAAACTATTTTAACTTTTTTTTTTGAAATTATAATTTTGGAACTTTAAAATAATTTTATGTGTAAATATAGTTGATACTACTTGTTAGAAGAGTAGAACAAGTATAAAAAAAGTACTTGAATTTAGCTCAATACATTGGTTAAATGGTTAAAAATTGGGTTTTATCAATTTTTGTTCAAATTTCAAATTAGTAATCTGATTTCTGCTGATTTCTGCTTGGTTTCCAAAACACCAAATTGATTTTTGTATAATTTAAAAATTGAAAATATTATTTTGTTAATTTTTCAATTGGTAAAAAATCAACAAATGATATTGTCAATTTATTAATCAATTCTTGAATTATCTAACTAACTTTATCAATTTTTAGTCAATTTTCAAAGTCACTTTACTAATTTTTCAACTTATTATCTAATTATTAATTGGATTAGCTAATTTTTAAATAAATATACTGGTCAAAATTTTATTTATGAAAGATTTATTCTTTATATTTATTTATTTATATTTGATATATAATTAAAACAATACAATTAAAGGTTACTATATTTTATTATATTTTTATTCTTTAAAATGAAATTTTTTTTTTAATAGTATTATCACTATATATTTTTTTTCTTTTTTTTTTCTATATTAAATTTACATTTTATAAATTTTCCTATAATATTATATATTGGAATTATACTATCTCTTCTTATTTCATAAAATTCACTTGATTGTAATTCAATATTATAAGATTTTGAATCATTTTCTCCTATTTGAAAATAAAATCTAGTTTTATAATTTTTAACTGGTTTGTATCATTTTATAACTGTGAGATAACATTTTAATTCATCATTATTTATATATAAAGTGTATTTTAAATAGAATTTTATTTGCTCAGAATATGTATCATATACCTGCCACCCAAATTCAAAATCCAAATGCCAAAATCCCAAATGCCAAAATCCCAAATCCCAAATCCCAAAT